GTAGGATTGCGAGATGGTGTCCCACTTACTAGCGACGAGTTGCTTGCTAAAGCTTTGCAGGTGATTTTGGACACAGGTGATGTTGACCCTGAAGAGACAGCTCACAGAGTGGTTTTTCGGCGTAACTTATCGTTCGTCAAAACGAAGAATCGAGTGGTTTCGAAACATGGCACGGTCTTCACAAGAAATTCTCGCTGCCAGGAGCTGCTCGCAGCACTTCACCAGCAGCTTCTTGCTTCAACCTTTGAACGCGACCTTAATTTTTGGGAAACATCAAGGCTAGACATGAACGCCAGTCGGGCAATCCTGCTAGCCGTTATCCCTGTTGCAGGTTGTAGGTGCTGCCAGCCAGTCAACAGACGAGGAAGAAGTCATGTCTCTCACTGTGCTCGCCTTTGCCTGATAGTGTCTTAGTTGTAGCTTTGCAGAGCAAGACAACCGGAGCTTTGCAACAACATCTTCGGCCGAACACCTGAACTTTGCAAACCTCTGCACAAGTCCGAGAGGTGATCATAGAGCGCCACCGCTCGCGGCTTTGCCTGAACCCCGTTGCACAAACCTCGGCGAAGGCAACTTGTCAGAAAAAAGGTCAGGCTCCAATGAACATTGATTGGCGCTCTAGCGGTGGCTTTGTGGAAAGGAAAGAAAATGGACAAGGAAAGCGAGACGGAAAAGGAACAGGACAAGGGCAGGACTTTTCGAAAGGATCACGAAAGAAAGGATGCAGGAAAGCAGCATTGAAACTTTACGAAAGGGAAGGAAGAGGAACAGGAAAATACTTCCAGTTCAAGCTCGGTGTGTTGGTAGCCCATGCACTTTGGAATGAGCTTGACAGGGGAGGGATTCGAGCCTGCAGACGTTGGGTCGAGGAGTTTGGGGGGGGGATGAGGGGGGGGATTCGAGATGACGGGGGCAGGATTCCAGCCCGCAAACGTTGGGTTGAGGGGTTGTGAGTCTAGGAAGGGTGGGCGGAGGGATGACGGGGGGGGATTCGAGCCCGCAGACGTTGGGTTGAGGGGTTCTGAGTCGAAGAAATAGACAGGATAGGGCACTTGAAGCAACAGTCCGACAGGTTTCGGCGCTGGAATGCGTCGTGGAAGTCTTTTGGAGTGAGCTGGAGCGAAGTTACCCCTAAAGGGAATGCTATGTGCCAAACCAGTTTTTTGGGGGTAGGGAACGGAGTGGCAACGTTAAGGATAAGGAATGGCAAGTCCTGAAAGTGTCAAAGACTGGGGAGTGGCCGAATTCGTGAGTGCAGCGAGTGGCACACCTGAGTTGAGTGCGTATTGCGCATGCCTTGAAGCACAAAAAATGCGGCATGTGGCGACAGGTGGACATCAAATGAAACTTGGAACGGCCAACCTTTGGGAAACTTTTGGAAGTTGACAATTATGATGAGTTTGGGTAGCGACAGAAACCGCATGGCCTGTGGCGAGCGGTAAAGCTTAAAACACCGAGACGAGCGGGACCAACAAACCATGAAACTTAAATTAAAGCTTGTACAAAACTAGATTGAGGGAGTGGCGAGCTTAAGCCCCAAGTTCAAAGGTGGAGTGCAAAAGATTCAGGGGAGAAACTAGCAGCTGCTAGTGTTGGAAAATGCGGCTCGGACATGCCGTGCGTGAACGCTTTGCCGCCTGGACTCAAGCGTCTCTCCATTAAGACATGTAATGATCTTGCGAGCAAATTCAACCGCCATCGGCGCCACGAGATGTGTCGATCCTTTGTGTAGCTTTGCTGATATCGCAAGGCCAGCTGCCTGACGATCAATGAGGCCACAGTATCATGCTTATCGCCAGTTCGACAGCATGAGGCTAGTCGTTGCCACAGGTCCCCGGCGTCAATGCGATTATTGATGACGGGACCGCTGCGGCAAATGCTCATGCAAGTGACTGGCAGGATGCTAGCCCTTTTGAAACTGTTGGCGCTAAGTGCCGCTGTGGTTGATACTCGGAGTACGTCATATTGAGTTTGTGCATACCATGTGTGACTCTGCGACCACTCGTCTGCATCATTTTGTGATCCGTGTTGGATGTGGGAATATTGTACCCTGCCCCCAATGTTGCTGCCCTATGCCTTGATGTCAGTGGCAGAGTCAGTGGTATCAAATCTGCCCTGAAGAGCGGCTTCCCAGTTCATGAGCTTTCAGGACCAAGGAGACCGTTTGGAGAGACTACGTTCCCGCCTGAGTTGGCCTAAGTCTGGTCACACTTGCGTCGTCTGGAGTGCAACATCTCTGAGGTGGACATCAGCATTCCCATCCCCAGTCCGCGGGGCATTATTGCCTGCACGTTGAGGGATGCCCAGTCCATGTCCATCCGCGATATGGAGCACGAGATCGCAGGGTGCCGGAGACACGTTTGCACCTGCAAAGCGAGCGTCACCACCGCTTGGTCCGTGAAGATATGTTGCCCAATTATGCCGCCCGAACGGACAGGCTGACAGATCGAGCCGCACGGGACGAGCTCTGCGTAGAGGATCTTAGCCAGTCGACTTTCGGCATCGTGGATGCCGGCATCGCTGGGGGAATGCTTGGTACTGGAATCATGTCCGGGCCCTCAGTGTTTGGTGTTCGTTCGTCCCGAGGAGCTGTGAGAACATGTTTGCTGAGTGTGTGTCTGCAGAAACTTCCCGCAGAGCGCTTCGATGGGTGGCGAGCTTAGGTCGAGATATCGTTGGACATTTCCACTACATTTGCGCATTGCCAGGAACCAATGCGGTCAAGAGACGCGTGACGGTAGTTGACGGCAAAGTGGAAGCTCGTCCAATCATGCCTGCCCTGCAAAGTGTTCACGATGTTCTTTTGCGCACTCACGGTGTCTCCCATCTGCCAGGTTCACTTCCTTGACCTACGACCACCGACTGGTAGACGGCCGCGAGGCCGTCACGTTCCTCTGCAACGTCCGGGACAAGCTTCAGGACCTTGGGTGGATGGTGACTGTCACACCTGCACGCATCTGTCCTTGTCTTGGAGGATCCTGCCCGCATGCTCTTAGACCTATGACCAAACGAAGGCCGCGCTGCTAGGCCGCTAGGCCGTAGGCCAAACAGTGAATACAACACGTTCCGGCACACATTCTGAAGGGTTTCAGGGTTTGAGAGTTTAGGTCAGGTTTTGAGGCTTAAGAGTTCGACGGCGAAGGTGGCGTCTCGAACAAGCTTAAGATTTGCAACGGGGGGGGCTAGTCCTGAGCGCGAGGCGAGTTCTTACGCTCGGCTTTGGGCTGGTACCGTCAGGTTAGAATACGTCGTAAACAGCATTTGTGTCTAACTCTTGTTTTTCCTGAGCATACATTTTTCTATGTTTGTGTTATTTGTGTGCAGTTCTTATTTTAGAAAGACTTTGTTGCATGCAACTTCTAGCATTGTTATGTTGTTTTCGTCTATTGCCCCTGCAAATTCTGTTCTTGAACATTCTTTTGTGTGCAACTTTGCAACATTTTGGAACATATTTGTATTTTACATAGTTTCATTTTTAGCATTGCAATCACAATGTTTGGCATTAAACAATGCAAATTTGCAGTTTCTAGCGTTTGCGTGTTGTTTTTTTGCGTGTTTCCATCATGTTTAACTTTTTTTTGCATGTTTGTGTATGTTGGTGCGTTTTTGTATTTTCTAGATGTTTTGGTGCTTTTCATTGCAAATCCGTAATTTCTCGCATGCTTGTGTTGTTTTAGAAATTTTGTGTTTGCAATTTACAATTTCTAGTGTTTGGGTGGTATTTTTTGTGTGTCTTTTCCACTACAAAATTTAACATTGTCGTGTTATTTTGGTTCGTTTTTGTATTTTTGATTTTAGTACTTTCTCACTGTAAATCCACAATTTCTAGCATGTGTGTGTTTCCTTTTGTATTCTTGCAATTCGAACAATTGTTAGAAGCATTTTCGTGTTATTTGTGTGCATTTTTGTATTTCTGGAGATTTGTCGCATCGCTACCTTCGCTGTGGCACATCGGCTGCGCCCTTATCGGCCAAATAAAGCAGGGCGTAGCCTTTGAACTTTCAAACCTTTCGGGTTTAGGGTTAGCGGGTTTTAGGGTTTGAGGGGTTTCTGGTTTTGGCAGTTATCTAGAAGTGAACGGGGTTGCACGTGGACAGAATATTGTGAATCTGCCAGGCCGGGTTTGCTTGCACCAGGTTGTGCTCGTTCAAGTTGCAGGATGCATACGATTGAGAAGCTTGAGTCAAGCGGCACGCAGATTGCAACAGGAGAAGGGGACGTTGGAATAGTTGAAAAAGCCATGGACGATTTAGATGCTTGATAAGCTAATCCGCCAAGCCGCTTTATTTGTTTCAGGAGTTCACTTCTTGACTTTTGGCCTTAACTTTTTTTGACGTCGATGTGCCTGATCTACATGAAGACTGTAGACTGCGAGTCAGTGAGTCACACCAAGACTTCCGGGATTTCCTCCTTCCAATGCTACCTGGGCGTGGGAGGGGTTTAGCTCGAGAAGGAACGGGGCGGCCTTTGGATTCAGCCTCGGCTGAGGAGACCCGAGTTTATGAAGGACTTGCATATACTTAAATGTTGGCTAGATCCAACCAACTGCACAAATACGCAAGGTTAGGATCAGCGAGCACGTGCAAACGGATCGGCTCAATTGAGTGCTTGTCACGGTGCAATGGGACATTGCACGCAAACCTTTGCCACGAAGATGTTCTTCAGATGTACTTGCAAGCCCGAAACATGCCAGGCAGTCTTATCAAGTTGTCAAGCAGTGCTTCGAGGCGGTTGAGATGGCAGCCGCACAAGTGTACGTCGACCGCCGAAAGTGAGCTGGCGACGCGAATCCTGCGTCACGTCTCACCTGAGCTCCTCAGTCATGAGTGTCAACACAAGTTGTGCAAACCGTATGCCCTTGTGGTGCTGCATTGCTTTAACATACCATCTCGAAAAAGCATGCACGTGTGCATTTGCGTGGACCTGCTGATCCAGCTGCCAACTGGTCTGGTTGTTGATGCGTGCATCGAAACTTGCAACATGCGCTTGCCGCTTGCCAGGGAGTTCGAAACTCTGCCAACCAGCAGATGATCCTCCGTACGTGTGAGGCTGTTGGCATCCAGGACGCTTGGGAGTCCGAGCTATGCTGGAAGCACAATCTATTGGACCTATCTGGGGGTTGTTTCTGTGTGCTTCACTTGCACTTTGCTCCATACCTTCCGCCTCTCGGTTTCGGCTCTCCGATTTTCGTGGCTTTCTGCAATTAAATTGTTGCCGGTAGCTTGCTCCTCTCTGAGGCCTCTCTGCTCTGAATTGCAGAACAAACAAGAAGAACTGACGAAGGCATGGATGCGCGACAGCGGAAGCAGGAATCAGGAATGCAAGAACACAAGCAAACAGCCAATGCAGCAGAGAAGACGCAAAGGCCATGATAACAGAACGCAGTAAGGACTCCATAGTAACGTTTTGAACACTGCAGCGGGTCAAAGCAGGACGATGCGGAAGATCGGACACCATAACAGGGGGCGCATGGTGATGCATCGTGTTCTCTTGCTGCCAGACAGTCATTGCACATAGTTTAAGATAGCCACTTGTGTATGTACACATCTTTGCTCACAGAGATATATGTATGTACCGTATCCCCTCCTCCCTACCTACCTTAATGTTGAGTGCATGTGGAATTCAATCAAACAAGCATTTAATTGAACAGCTACATCTCTGTATATGTATATATATATATGTGTATGTATATGTATGAGCATATGTTTTACACATAAGTATCAATATGTGTACATACTTAAGTCAATAGATACCTACGGACTAGTGTATGTATGTAAGTACGTACGCATGCAAGTATGTATGCATATCCATTTGCGTATGTTTTTATGCACGTATGTATGTAGGTGACATCCTCCCAGCTCGCTGTCCTGCAACACCCCCAAACCACTTCACCATGTCACCGTTGATTGCGCCCGTCAGGCCCCTCACACTTTCACGGTCACCAATTCACGTTGATCCCCCCCCCACATATGGCTAGGTCATTTCACCAATTCACCATTTCACCGTTAATTTCTCCTACGTGGCTAGGCTCCCTCACCATCTCACCATTCATTTTCCCCATATGGCCAGGCCATTTAACCATTTCACCAGTCATCATTCATTTCAACAATGTGGTCGAGTCATTTCACCATTTCACCAGTCAGTTCCCCTCCACGTGGTCGGGCTCCTCAATTTCATATGTCTGGAAACAGGTTATAAGTTTGGACCTGGTCCAAACTAATTGGCGAAGTGGTCTATGGGCTTATACATAGGGCCAAGCTACGCGGTGAATTGTTTGAAAACTTTGGTGGGCAGGCCCTGCTGCAGGATCTTTCGTGATGGTCTGACCGTTCAGTGCATGGGGGCTTACAAGAGCAAAGAAGCACTATGTACATATTAGACGAATCGCGCTTTCATGCCACTCCCCCGGTCATCGTGCGGAATATGACGAGGCTTTTATCGGGGATGCAGTAAATCAGTAGATGTTGTTAACGTTGGAATATCGAAGCACGCACCAAGTTGAGATACGACGGGCAAGACCACATTGTCAGGAGAGGCAATATTTGGCAGTTTACAACTTGGTCAGGTTTCGTCGCCCGGTACATAGACGAACTGGTTGCAACTTTTTCCAAACACCGTTCCAACAAACAAGAGCTCCATGAGATAAGACTGATAAGAAAACATGTGGCGTGCAAAACTGTTGGGTTTCGTCAATGGACAACTTCCAGCAAGGCAATTTCCAACTACATGGGGATGAACTATCGAACTCCTTCGAGGAGTGACACGGTGTGTTCTTAAAGCAATATCGGTTTTAAAGGCCATGATACATGGCAGTTCATTGGTGGCGTCATCAAGATTGCGAGGATTAGAACTGTCTGAACAGTCCAGCACATTGGGTTTGCAAGAGCATGGGGGATGTACGAATATGTCTCAACAGATAAACCGAAGAATTCTGGGAGCCGTTTGCCATGTGTTGACATTTTCTCAAACCCAGAAATCATGCTCGGACCGAGACAACGGCTTCTATTTGAGCTCCAACAAACACGCGAATAGCAAGGTCAACAGGACGTGCACGAGATATGGCTGTTGTGAACGCTCTTACAATTCGGACAAGCCAGATGAGGGCAGATGGGTCGCAGTCGGCCTTATGAGATGGTTCCTGTATGCTGATACACAGAGCAAAGATTTCATCACTCGGTATATAGAAACGCTGCAAAGAGGTTGGGTTATACTGTCCTAAGTAGTGTCAGTCTATATTGTCCTTCAGAAGAAACACTATACAGCGTTTGCTAAACGTTCAATAGGCAAGGTTTTGCTTGGCACGTAAAGGAATGCAGCACCCAAATGCGCGAAGAAACTGGATGTACGTGTGTTTGAACACAAGGTCATAGGGACATTGGGATATGTCATGGCGAGCTGTCTGCAGCCGAAGCTCCGTAGCATTCCGTATCAAGGAGTAGAAAAGCCAAGAATCTAACGGTGTTGTGGCGTTACAGTACACACGTGGTGAATTTGTAGTTCAAAAATTTGGATCGCCCTGGAACATGACCGAAAAAGACCAACGTCGCGCTTGCTAGTAAGATAGCGATGAACTACGAAAATTTATCGACGGTTCCAAAGCAAGGATTATAGCCAAGTTCACACGTTTTCGACGGGTTTGTGGATTCAATCCGTTGTACCGGCGTCGGCCCGTCAGCAGTCTGCAAGTATGGATTGTCAGAATCATACGTGCAAGTAACCAGGATTTGCAACACTGGGCCTCTCCTCTAGCATTTCTGAGGGACACTATATTAATTTTGCCCCGATTGAGCATGGAGGCTTCCTGAGGATTTCGAAGTTGATTCGCCAGCCGAAGCAATACAAAAATGCGAAGATTGCTGAACTCAGCGATCGCATGTCGCCGAATGAAACCTGTCTCCGCATGCACATGGTGGGGGAGCCTCTGTTTAAGCCTTGTGAGGAGGTGTGGCTCGTGCCCCCCCGCTCGGGCGCAAAGTACCGTGCGACAATGGTCCGATCCCGGCATGCTTCGAGAGGTGCTGAGAGGCACGCACGCTGCAATTGCAATGTTTGCCCTTCACACAGCTCATCCCGACGAGATCGTGTGGCAGGTTCCTCACACTGCGGCGATTCGCAAATGTCGAGGCTGCCTCTGCAAGCAAATCTCGTCCACGAGTGTTCGACGCGCGCAGGAAGTTGCCGCATGCTGCAAAGCAGAGGCTCGTGAGCTGTGGGCCTCCTACTGCCCGCCAAGGTGAGGTGCTCACAAGTCCTCGTACAATGACCTCTCGCTGAGCTCGTTTCTCCACTGGTGGTGCCACGTCTAAAAGGACAGAGCCTACGGATGCCGCTGAAGTGGCGGTGCCTTTGGTGCGAGGGTCAGGGGCCCGGCGGGCTGCAAATCAGTTTGTCGTTCAAGCCTTTGCTCTAAGGTCTGTGCCATCCCCACTGCCTCGTCTGGCATTGGTTTGGGGCCCGTTTCGCGCTTTGGACTGGGGCGGTTTTGCTCGACATGGCAACGGTCAGCCTGTTAGGTCCTTGGCACAGAAGGCGATGGCATCTCGCCGGAGCTGCTAAGGAAGGCAAACCTCGCCGTGCGCCGACACGTCTTGTTGCTTCTCATCCCGTGGTTTGGGCATCCTTCTGCTCAAGGTATATCTACCGATGCACGGCTTTATGCAGTCTCTAAATGTGGCTGCACGGAGCTTACAAGCATCGGTGTTGTGGCTTGACATGAGCATTCCGGGCTCTCTTTCTGATGGCCCGCGGCGCGCGAAAGAGCACATGCGTGTAGGTGGCTTGCGGCATGCTCCTCCAGCGACTTTTCGATCTCTGTCCTGAAGCAAGGGGGGTGCCCTTGCCATTCTTCCTCGAGTTCAATGCTCAAATGCGTTGCATGAGACGCTCCTCAACACTGCCAGGATATGCCTTCCCAGGTTCAGGAACACCTGGTGCGCAGCTCATTTGTTGTTTGGGTATCGTTCCAATTCCTTGCGCCGCAAGTTGTGCGAGCTGCGGAGCGTGCTGCACAGGCGGGCATGTTGCGCGGTCTTCACCTTGCAAGAGATGATGTCGGTGACGACGATGAGGGCATTCCCGAGGGCCTGATCTGAAATGCCAAAGTGCGCTTTCCTCTTCGCAGCTGTACAGGCATGCGATCCGGATCATGTACAGAACGCTGAGGCTTCCGATTCTGCTGCTCGCAGCCGTTGCAACGCACAGCCGCATCGGACGCTAATTCTGCAACCTGGGCGCCTGGGTGCAGACTGTCAGCCCGAACATGCGAGAAAGCTTGCTCTTTGTCGTGAAGTGCAACATGTCCTCCTCGAGCCGCATGCATGGCATTTCTTGAAGATCAGCCTTTACCAGAAGCAGTCTAGCCGGACGATGGAGCAGCTAATTTCGAAGATAGCGAACCCCCAAAGTTCTTCTATTCGGCTTGACGCAGTAGACACCAACCAAGAGTGACGTCTGCCTATGCGCCGACAACCTGTTTACAGCTCTGCAACCTTATCGATCTGACATGAATCGAAGCAAGGATGCTGTGTCAACAGGGGTTTGCTGACGAACACATAGTAGAGAACAATCCAAATTCGGGACAGTCATGGCGTCGTGGGAGTCGCTGAAGGCTAGAGCCAAGGCCGTAACGCGCCCGCAGCCACTTCTCATTGGCATTTACTTTCGATGTGTCTCCCCCAGGCTCTGAAATCGGAGCTAGACACCAAGATGCAGGACAATTGCAGCAGTGGTGCTTTCTTCAAAGCCCAGTCACGCTTTTGTCAGGATCTCGGGCGCTTAAACAAGCGGCTTAGCACAGCAACGGCGTCCACGCCTGCAGACCGTGTGGCAGAGCTCGACGGGTGTGGCTGTCTTGTTGCCTGATGCCTCGTTCGTACATGCTCTTGATGGCCTGGCGCTTAGTTCTGCGAAGATGCCAGGCAGATAAAGCTTGTCGTCAGTTTGCGAGAGGAGGTCTCGCGCGTCTCTGCTCTTGACGTTGATGATGTTGGCAAGTTTCCAGGTTGAGAAGGGCCTGAGCCAGCTGGAGGACACATTGAAGTTTGCACAACCAATACTGCATGCTATGTGACAGTGACATGTCCATCAAGCTTGGGATGTCCGAAGGATGCAAGCGAGTCTCTGGCCAACGTAGCTGCGACGAGTGCTCAAGCAGCTCAAGCCGCCCGCTTCCGGGAAACTCATCAGGCGGAGCTTGCCTTATTTTGCTCATAGCCCTGCCACACTGCTCACTGCTCACGGCGTGAGAATGGGCCTGGGCAGGAGATGCTTCGGGACTTCAAGAGAGTGGCCCAGAGCATTGACCAACAGTACCAGCATGCAAGGCCAGGCCTGGATGTCGTGGATGCTTCAGCGTAACATCGCGCGATCGACTTCTGCAGGTTGCTACCGCAGGCCAGAAATAACCGGCCATCAACTGAGCACGTCCTCTGGACAACATCCACAAGCTCAAAGTCAGAGTGCTCACAGCATCTGCCACCGCCACCCAGGTCCAGTGTCGCCCTGGCACGTCCTTACAGTAGAGCGGTTCTGCCCAGTGAAATGAATGCAACAAGTATACAAAGAAAATAAATGCTTGCGCAACAGAGGTACGTACAAGGTCACCGTATGACCAAGGACGAAACAACAAATGAACTAGTGGCAGCTGAGCAGCAGCTTACAAATTGGAGAGTGAGTTGCTAAAAACAAAGAAAGACAGACAGACCGACAGACAGAGAGAGACAGCCTCCTCCTCCGTGGCTGAGTGCAAGCAAGACAGAAAGACAGACAAACAGAGACAGAGAGAGACAGACACAGAGGGACTGCCTGTGCTTCGTGCCCGAAGCAAAGCAAACAGACAGAGAGACAGACAGACAGACAGAGAGAGACTGACAGAAACGGCCGCACAGCCTGCCTGCCTGCCTGCCTGCCTGCCCTATCTGCCTGCCGACCTGCCTACCATTGCCTACCTACCTACCTACCTACCTACCTACGTACCTGCCTGCCTGACTGCCTGCATGCGTACTTGCCCACCTGCCTGCCTGCGTGCGTCGTGCATACATTCATCTGCACATGCGCGGAGATGAATCTGGGTGGTTCCCATGTGCGTCGACAGTTATCGCGCGTGCTGGCAGCTGTATGTGCAAGGATGACGCTGAAGACGGCTTGATGCGAGAACGCCGCTCGCCTGTTTGGAAAGGTCATGGGTTTTCCGTCGGACTCATGTGAGCTGCCGGTTTCAGTGTTCCGCCCAGCCAGGAATGGGCTTGAATTCCTCCTTGTCCATGGCGGATGAGATCATTGGACAAGCTACTGCTACGCGAGACATGTTGATGAACCAACGCAATGTCGGGTGCCCGGCGACTACATCAACCCGTCTGAAAATGCGCTCATGTGATCTTGCCTTCTATCGTGCTGTACCATGCTTCGCACACCTCGCATGCCAGGAGGTTGCTGCATGACCGTGTATGACGAACAGGCAAACGTTATAGACAACGCCGATTCGACTCTGCCTGAGCGTCAGCTGGCAATCTGATATGGTTTCCATCCGACATCCAAGCTGCAAGCGCTCGACGCTTGAAGATTGAAGCTTTACTGTTATTTCGCTTTCATATTCTAAAGTCGTTTGAGCAATTTCGTTCTTACAAGTTGACTTCGACCCGAGCAGGCAAACTCCACAAGCTTTGGAGGTTTCAATTGCTGTGGGTGCCAGTTCGAAGCTCCGGGAAGTGATGCAATCCTCCCGAACAGAACACCCTTGGCAAAAACCCAGCCACACGACGTTGCGGGCATCAAGCTCCAGCTTGATGGGAGCTGCAAGATCATACAGCGAGCGCTAAGAAGGAGCTCTGGTTTGCGCAGAGGCAGGCGCTGCATCCCATCTCCAATGAGCGGGTTGTTGGTTGGATTCTGGAAGGGCAGGTGCATGACTAATGCGTTTGGGGGAAAAGGCGGCGGGGGGCTGAATTGAGAGGATCAACTTGCTTAGTTGTGAAGCACAGGCGTGTGCGCAGTAACACTTGCCAACCGCCTGCACCTTGGCTTCACGCTCTACAGTAAGCTTTTGACTGATGTCGCGCAGCTTTAGCTGTCTCGCTCGAGCGACTGGGGATGGAGCGCTTCTGGATCTCTAAGTGACCTCATAACCGATTCCCCGCGCTCTCGACTTTGTTTGTCCTGCGATTGAACTTGGGCATTCGTTGCGCTGAGCTGGGATCTTTGGCCTGGTCCGCTTTCGCATCTCGGAGCTTTTCTTCCTTTGGTGAGCTTACCTCGAGCTTGCATCTCAAGGCCCGGTTGCGTTCTAAAGGTCCTTGAATCCTCGCTTCCTTGGGCAGAATCGCCGTTGGTAGCTCGCAGCACTGCTGATTTCTGTGTCCTTCGGAGAGCTCGAACCATCAGGTCAATCTCCAGCGGGGCTCGCAAGAAAGCTCATCAAGGACAGTAAGGCAGCAAGCGGCACGGTCCTTCGCTTCCTTATCACGAGTCTGCGGAGAGCACGAAGAGGTGGATGGAGAGTCCATCGCGGTTGAGGGTTGTTGGCCTGTGCCCACGGCCGGCGAGCACCTGGAAGAGCTCCGTTGGGGTTCTGGCCAGCCCCCCCAAAGTTTGGCACCCTTCTCCTTCCAGAAAAGTATTGCAAGTCCGGGCTGCGGTCGCCGGTGCCAGCGCTCATCACCGCCGAGTCCGAGGCGCCCAGAACGAACCGCGGTTCAGGAACGTGCCATGTCTTTGGAATCCAGCATGGACGAGATCAGGGCTTCCCTCGCGACGCTGGTGGGGAAATAGTCTGGACCACCAGAAGACGTGCAAGCAAGACCAAAAACCATTGACACAGCAGCGTGTGGACAAGCCAGTGTAGGCAGGTTTTGCACCGTCACGACTCCCGCCGCCTCGTCGTGTACTTGCTGAAAACGCTTATAACTTATAGATCCCTATCGGCAAAGGCCAGTGCAAAACCTACATAGCATATTGCCAACCCTTCTGACCAGCACCGTACACATCGGGAATCTTCTTGCCGGGTCTTTGCTCATTCTGGCAGCTAACAGTAGGGGCAAGCTTCAGTGCAACAATATCCCTGACGGAGAGTGTGTCAATGAACGGTGCTGATTCATCAGTGGAAATTCGGCAGCCGGGGAAGATCGTCAACAGGGCGAGTTCGTAGAAGGAGCATCCGTCCGTGTCAAGGGAATGTTCGTCAACGGAAGGTTTGTCCACAGACGGTTCGTCACCGGAAAGTTCGTCAATGGAAGGTTCGTCCATGAAAATTCGGATATGCTAGCGGACATGGCCGGAGTTGGGATTGTCGGTGGCGAAGTTCGTCAGTCACAAAGTTCGTCAATGTTTGCAACTCGCCAGTTAAAGTTCGCCAATACTGACTGACGAGCCCAACTTCCATTGACGAACGATTGATGAGCTATGAAGCATCGGCCAGACATTCCAGGAGCATGTCCTTCTGAACGAAGTTTCCGCATACAAACTTTCTGTCGAGGAGCCTTTCGCTGGCGAACTTTCCATTGACGAATCCTTGTTGAGAAACCCTCCGTCGAGGAACTTCCCGCTGAAGCTTCTTGCTAAACTTTCGTTGGGAAACCCTTCAGTGTCGAGCCTTACCTCGACGAGCTTCATTTTGACACACTTTTGTGGAGAAGCCTTGTGTACGAACTTTTCCTAAATTTCTTAAACCTCGTTGACGAACCTTCTGCTGACTACGCTTTCGCTGACGATCCCTTGACGGACCTTCCGGTTACGAACTTTCTGATGGCTGACTATTCAATTCATATACAGTAAGTGCAGACTCTTCATTGACGAACCTTCCGCTAATGAGTACGTTCTAGGGAAGCTTCCCCCACCAAACTTGCCGATTATGAACCTAACACTGGAAACTGCTCCGCAACCTACGTAGAACCTTAAGCTCCTGGATCCCACGCCCCAAAATCCGCTTATGATACTATGACGCCGAAACCTGAGCGAAAGTCCTAGGCCCCCCTAAACCCGAATTGAAGGCATTGTAAAACCACATCGGTACGAGCCTGCTCTGCGCGACTATGTCCAAGCCGCCGAATCCCTGAAGGCATACATTTGCTATTGCAAGGCTAGTCGCACAGAGCCAATCAGGTACCAGACAGCACCCAGATTTTGGCAAATTCCGCTGCTTTCCATACAAGGAATCCAAGATGGGAGGCGGTGCTAATGAATGTAAGTCCGACACTTCAACTTCACTTGAACTTGCTGCTTTGCTCGCCACGTTTTTGCGCTATTGCACCAAATGCAAATGGACTGTGGACCAGTCCAACCACAGCCTCGCCTGCAAGCCTTTTGGGATTATTCGGATTGGTTCGGTCATGCCTTAGCACTGGCCGACTGTGTCGTAGAATAGGGTATGATTGAGCCACTAAGGTCTTGGACGGTGTTGGTGCCAGAGTTGGAACATTGAGCTCCATGTTTCCGGGAATCAACACGCTGATAGACAAGATTACGGACAGGAAGAACAAGGACTGAATCATCCCTTCTTGTGATGCATGGACTTGTTGCCACGCTGCCATTAGCCTTGCTGACGGTTGCAGGAACGCATGGTGCTGTCGTTAACTGTTGCGCAGAAGGCTGAGTGCATTAGACTGCAAGAGTCTCAAAGCGGTTGTGTGGCTAAGCTTCTCAGGTCTTGCTGCTTCTTCACCATCTGGTACAAGTTTCTCTGACTCCAGAGTTGGGCTGTGTACCCTAGAGAAAAGGACAGTCTTGTGCAGCTTGTGCTGGCTTCTTAACCTTGCCCGCCTACGTGCTCATCATTTTCTCAGACCGCAGACCAATAAATGCTCAGCTTCTTGACCAGGGCACGACTGAATTCAGATTCAGAGTCTGACAACTATGTTGGAGAAGGGTTTGTCATTTAGTTGTAGCACGCATGGCCGCTTACAGGCATTTGTTGTCGTACATGCAGACAAGCACCAAGCTTGTTGCAACGCGAGCCGTGCATGGCCCTCTCGCTGAAAGGCGGCCACAATGCATCATACATGTTTACAAGATGCTTGTCTTCGGAGGGCAGAATCTCTCTGCTGCTTGTATTCGGTATTTTGCAGGTCCAGTCAAGGCTCTGTTCATTTGCAGCATCCTTGCTGCTCGTTTCCCAGCATTGCAGGGGGTGCGGAGGTGTTTGCAGCTTCCGAGCGGAATCAGTTCAGTCGCTGTGAGATCGTGACGGTGCTCTCGCCAAGGCTGCGCAGAGGGATCGCTTGCTTCAGGCCCAGCTGTCCGCTCGCTGCCGTCGTGGCGCTGTCACCGTTCAGCGATGGGTCGTCCCGCGCTGCAGGATGCGACTTGCGATGACGCATCGAGATGGTCTCAGATGCCATGGGTGCGCCCAGCTGGTGGGGAGATGGCGTGGGGAATCGTCTGGTTGAAGATATCAACTCTGTCTTGTGCTTCAGCAGCAGATAGCAGCTCGCAATTGTCCTTTTCCGTTCGGCTCATCTCGTCTGGTTTCTTTCCCTCTGCTGCAACACTTGCACTGGGATCCTGAAGATTCCAGCCGCCTTCATCCTTGTTCCGAGAAGACCGGCTTTTCTTCTCGACGTCCCTGACACCACTCTTACATCGGTGCGCCTGTCGAGTCTGAAGCTCGCCCTTGTCTCACAGGTGGGACTGAAGTCAGGCTCGTCTGTCGCTTGCGGAGGGATGGGTGGAGGTTGTATGCTGCGATATGCTGGGCATCGTTGCATAGTCATTGCGCCAGACCTTGTCACTTGTTGCAGGACACGGAATTAGAGCCAGCAGGCAGCACGCTGGTTTCCAGCTTCAGCAAGTTCAGCAAGCTGCAGCCGATGCAGACAGCACTGTAAGTGTGTTGCGGAACGGAACACCAATCAAGGGAACTCAGCGGGTCTACTCTGTGCACGCAAATGCTGGCTTATCTTCCTTTCAGGAGTTCCTCAGCTTTCAAGAGCGGGCCTCGTGGTCTACTTTGGGGTGGACGCCTGGCCCTCCAGTGACTGACGTGGGCTGCTTGCGGACCGAACGGCCCCCTCGTTGCATGTCTCAGGCGAGAGATGTGGGATGCTGCACACCCCATTGCGACCTCCAGTGCTGGTCCCTCATGGGTCGAGATATGTCACGGATAAAGTAACTTGAAACTGACGGGCTTTCCAGGGTGCCGATGGAGTTTGAAATGTAGCGGACTTCAGGTCATGCCTGTAACGACAACTTTCGGAAGAAGGCGGGTCTTGAGCACATCCGTCCGCCCTTAATGGACCTTCCAACTGGTCTCAGTACGCTTGGAGACCAGAGCGAGGTGAGAGCATGGCAGAACAGAGGATAGTCATGTTCTGTGAAGATAGCCGACATGCTGTTTGTGAATCTGTGCCCTGTCCGTTCAAAGTTCACGCCACAAGGTCATGCCGGTGGTGCTGGACAAGACACGGCACATGCATGCCCCACGAACGTAGCTCATAGACTCACGGAGTAAAGACCTGCAGGTTAAGGGGCTCACCTCTTGCCCAGCTCCAGCTGAAGGTGGAAGCCCCAAGCGCAGATCAATCGAGGCCGAACCTAGTAGTTCGAAACTTGAGAACTTGTGCCGGGCAAGTGCACAAAATGCATTCCACGTGAGACAGAGCACCCTTGCCACGATGCAGCAGCTCAAGAGCATGCCATCCTGTCACAGATGCATCATCTGTAGATATCTGTAGCAGCCCCGGGCGTATCAAATTGTGATGCAGCTGATACGTGCCACGATACTGCAGGCTTCAAGAAGCCCAACCGCACTCAGCACGGATGTCAGATGATGTCAGAACGAAAGCCCAACCTACTCAGCGAGAAGACAAGCAAGGCCGGGAGAGAGGAAGGAAACCAAGAAGGTGGGACCCAATGCCAGGAGTACAGTTAATTACCAAGGTGAACACTCCGGGCCACAGGGGCACAGGTAAGCGGAGCGAAGCCATCGCAAGCAACCATCAAATCGTAGAATGGAGCCGAAGAGCGACTTGCGCTTGCGACCCATCGGACGCAGAGGAAGTGGAAGTGTGCGGCCTGGTGGCCCACTAGCCGACTGTGTGGAAATCGGGGGGAGGTGAACGCCAGGTCAAGACAGCAAGAGCATTTGAAGCTCGGCTTTGGTTTCGTTGTTTGTGTGCAGCTTCGGTTTCCGTGTTCACCGATTTTCGTCGTCATGGCAGTGAGATTGTCTGCAGCCCTGTATTGTCACTCTGTGATCATGTTTGCGTAGTTGTGAGCTGGAGTTGCTTGGTGCTGCACCACTCGCCTGAAAGGCTCGACGACTTTCAGCCTGACGAGTGGATCGATGCGGAGATGGTGCTGCCAGATTCGGATGCAGGCGTGGTTAGGGGGAGTGCGCCGGGAAGTGGCCGTTCTGTGACAAGCAGGCTCACCGCCAAGACGACTGCAGATGGGGACAGGGCTGTGGCAACAGAAGCAATCAGAGCAGGTCTGAGCTGATTCCTCGAAAGGAGCCCGATGCCCACCACCACGTCTACCACAGTTGTGTGAAGCACTGAGACAAGCCCGACTTCTGGACTCTCAGCCTGAGAATGCACGTCACCAGGCCCGTCACCGAGAGTTCTTGCTACCAGGACCTGACAGAGGCAGGGACACCGTACAGTCGTGCAGTAGCCTTCAAAGCACACGGAATCTGTCGAGGCCCAGCAAGATGCGGTTCGTACGCTGGCATACAGCATCACGACCTGGCACTTGTGCAACTGCCATGCTTCTGTTTGTGATCATATCGCCATTATGCAAGTCTGCAAAGCTCACATGAAAGGTGCAAAAATCCATCTTGCTCGTGGCCTGAGGGCATCCCAGAACCCAATGCACCCTGCCTTGAGGCCGGGGATCGATGCTTTTCTAGGTCTCATCGTATTCTTAGCTTACATGTGCTGGCTCACCGGAGGTTCTTGCATGGTTCGATTCTTCGACTCTGCCTCAAGATGCAGACCGTGTCCGAAGCGGCACCATGTATATGGAACTTTTGTGTTTGCATGAGGCTCTATTCCCGGACTTGGGTTGACCTGACTGACTCGAAACGCTCAGCCCTAGAGCTGCTGGGATGGGTCCGCCAGCCATCGATTTCCTTCAGGGGTCTCTTTGTTCTCCCACACGATGACACAGTTCGGCTGTAGGCAAGCTCACGCTGGGTGCAAATGGACTTTCCGCTATCCTATGCTCAGCTTGGATCCTCAGCTGTAGGCTGTGCAGAAGCAAGTGCAGTCAGATTCGACCACGCCTGGGCCTAGGCTGTGGAGCGAACTACAACCCCGGCAGCAAGAAGCCGCCACTTTCCTTGGCTACAGCGTGGAGGTCAGGTTTGTACGCAACGTTCGTATCGTCGTGGGACTGCATCGCCAAATCCAAGCTTGTGTTCTGCAGACCTGGGAAAGATGTGAAAGGGCAGCGTGCGAGTCTCAGATGTGTTAAGTGCCTACTGCCTAGAACAAGGCTTCGGTGAAGCTACTGATGCATGAGGCCGTGCATAACTCGCCTAGAGCTGCTGGAGGATCGGATTCTGGAAAGCCTTTGTTCCACACCCGTGGCATTTGTGCTTGCCATGTGAGACGAAGTGGAGCACCATCTCCTGGCGCGAAATGCAGCAGCCATTTCAAGACAGGCAGTGCTCCTAAGGTCTCTTGTCGAGGGCAGGATAGTCTGCAGAAGCAGTAGAAGAAGCTGATGCAGGTTGAAGGAGCTCGGTTATGATGAGGCAGGATACTGCTGTAACTTCTGCTTGCTTAAATCGCCTTGTCATATGCTGAGGGCTGTTTTGGAGCAATCTGGGCGATGGGCGCTATAAGGTCTTCTTCCATTAGCACCGGTTCCCTGATAACGAGAAGTGAGAAGAGTGTCCACACATGCCTCGTTGCTTCGCACAGAAGCGATGGACAAATGGCGACGGCGCCACCTTGAAGAAGGCGCTGGAACTGGACTAGGGCCTAGGGTGACCAAAGGTCCGTCCGTCCTCGCGAAGATCAGCTGAGCTGCAGAGGCTTACGTGGATCTCAGCGATGCCGAGACGATTTCAGTCAGACTGGCAGGTCAGCTGCCCGGTCGGCCTGTGCATGCAAGGATGAAAGCGAGGAGAAAGCGAGCTCAGCACTTTGGTTCAGGCTATGTTTCTGACACTTGGGCCTGTGCCTGAGTGAAGCATTCGCAGTCTGAGCTCACCGAAGTTTCTCCTCTTTTGCCGATCCTGGATTGCAGGATGGATGTCCTGATGCTCAGTGCGAAGAGCGCTTCAGGCCCTGTTCCTGCTGCCTGTTTGGTTTCTCCGTTCCTCAAAACCGCGGACACATGTCAAGTCGCTGCTTAGATAGTCAGCACCAAGTTTGGCGGGTGTCAGAATCGGAAAGAACTAGTATCTAGTACGCTTTATAGCCAATTGCAGTAGCTTCGATGGCCACAGATGCAGCAGCGCAGCAGCAGAATCTGATGGATACTACGGGCATCTGGTTTTCACACGAGTCACCCAAAACCCGAAATTTTCATACTCTTCCGGGTTCTCGCAGAGCCAGGCGAAGCCCAAGTCAGAGGAGACTTCTAGAATTTCGAGATTCTGATTTTAACGGTGTCTTCAGGAACCCAGCCAGTGGCACACACTTATGTTTGCATCGGCTTGCATGCAGTAGGTCTTCAAGCTTCAGGGAGGCACGAAAAGCCACCGATCCCACTCAAGCCTTTAAAGCCTAACGCATCG